AGGAAATTTTTAACAGCCTATTGAATTATTTCCATAGGGAATCATAGTGTTATTAATACTAGTTTCTACTGAATCTTTTATTTAAAATCAGTAGTTATCAACCCTATCACCCTATTTTATAAGAAACAGTTTTATATCCACAGTACTATTCTAAAAAGATATTCCTAAATAACCAATGAATACACATATGGTGGGGGGAGGGTGGATATAATACCCTACCTTTAATAAAGGAAAAATAAAAGGAAGTCAGTTATATTTTGGATTGTGAATACTCAGGCATGACTATATATAAGAGATAACAAAGTAGCACCTAGGTCCAAACCTGTGGTCCTAGAGCCTTCCTGTCATCCCAAGGCTTAAGGATGCCAAGCAAGTGCCTGGGTTCAACAAGAAAGTAGTAGCATAACACACTGCCATGTGCATTTTATTCTTTCCAATTTGGCCTATACACTGAACTTGAACCTAGTTTTTGGGTTTTTGTTTTGTTTTGTTTTACATGGTCAACAGTTGGCAGAACACAATATGTGGCTTCGGAAACAGACCAAAGGATGGTAGACAAATGTCAAAATAACCTACTTTTCCAGTATTATTTCCTACTATTGTACTCCCCTCCCTGACCTTCCACCCCATATACTCCATTTTCCAGGCCAATGGTTCTCAACACTGGCTGTAAAGCAGAATCATCTGGGGAGCATTTAAAAATACCCACCCTGGGCCCCATTCCCAGAGATTCTGTTTCAGCTGGTCTGGGCAGGCCAGATTAGGCATCACACTAATTTTTAAAGCTCCTTAGGTGACTCTAATATACAGAATAAGTCCCTGACCACTGTTACCAACAAACTGGGTACCTGACTATTACATACCTGGCCAAAGCACTTCCTGCATAGGGAGGGCCCTGTGCCACAGCATTCAGCCTGTTACCTTTGCCTGAAACACCCTAGGGGGCCCTAAAGATTTGAGAAAGGGAGTGACATGAGGACTCTGCAGTCCAATAGTTTTAGGTTTTGAATCCCAGTTCCACCATTTCTTAGCCTGTGACCCTGGAAAATTCTCAGCTTCAGTTTCATCAGATTAACAGTGCCTTCCTCATAGAGTTGATGTATGAGATTAAATGAAATAATTCATGTAAAGTGTTTGACTTTCAAGGCTGGCATCGTAAGAGTTCCATTAAGTACTGGCATACATAACAAGACTCCCTACTTAGAAAAGTGACTCTTCCAACAATTTGAGAAATGGGCTGAAGTAAGTGAAAATGGAGGCACTGTGGAAACATTAAGAGCGATAGTAATCAAACCTAAACTATGAAAGACAAGAAAAAATTACAAGAGGACAGGATGAATGAAACTTATTAGAGGAACAAAATCAAAAGGACCCAATAATACATTGGAAATGGAGTTACAGAGTAGGAAAATTTTTAATAGCTATTTGGGGTTTTTTTCCCAAATTTTTATTGTGATAAAATATACATAACATAAAATTTACCGATTAAGTATTTTTAAGCAGACAGTTCAGTAATGTTAAATACATTCATAATGTTAACCAACTATCACCACCAACCACTTCCACAACTCTTTTCACCTTGTAAAACTGAAACATTATACCTATTAAACAATAACATATAGCTATTTGTTTTAAACCAGTGTAACTAGAAAAGTACTACTATGAGAAACAGGACACGTTTGGAAGAAATGAGGCATTCATTCAGTTTTAGTTGCTTGTCTTTGAGGAAATAACACAGAATATTACTGTGAAGATGTCCAGCAGGTGGCTGAACAAATGAAACTCGAACTCAGCAAAGAAGTCATACTGTGCCACCTTGTTCAAAATCTCTACACTCTAAAATCCTCCTTCCTGAACATTGTGTTCTCTCCTTCACTGCCTCTACTCCCCCAATTATGCTGAATCTCCTCAATGTCTGGATTTCATAATACTGAGATGAGAGGTCTCAAACTGATAGCCTGTGCCACATAGTTTGACTCAAAGAATGTTTTGAAAATTTTCTGAATTTGTGGTTAACATTAAAACTCATGTGATTTCACATCAATTTCAATTTTTTCAGGCCCTCTTGAGAACTGCAAATATCTGCGGAAAATAATGAGACCATGTTCCCACATGGAAACAATTAGCTAAAGAGCAGCTGACATTTTTAAACAGGGAAGGAGCTTGGCTGGCCTCTGGAGACTTTTCAGTGTGTGACCTCTGGGGGCCAGGCCTTGTTTCTTCTTCCTAGCCTCAGAATCCATCAGTCACCTCCCAGCCTCACCTACCACCCTACAGCCCAGACCCCCAAAGGCAAGTTGGTTTTGCTTCTGAACCCTATGTATTCTAATCATACAAACACCGGGCAACAGAGTTGGAGAAACAAAGTTGAAATGAATGCACTCTCTCTGCTTGGCCTACCCTCCTCAGCTTCATCTCCGGCCACACTGGCATTCTCTCAATTCTGTGAGCCACACATGCATTCCCTACTTCCAGGCCTTTGCACATGCTGTTTTCTCTGCTCCCACAGCTAAGCCCAAAGTCCCTTCTCCTAATCATCCTTCACATCTCAAATGACATTTCCTCAGAGACACCTTCTCAGACTTCCCTTAGTGGCTCAGAATGATCCCCACCCCCTTCACATGTTCCAATAGTTCTTTCCCCTTCTTCGCTGCAGTGAATAGACTTATACTTTCTCCATGTCTACCTCGGAGACCAGATTAATCTTGTTCACCACTGACTTTCCAACGTGCAGCACAGCTGGTCTAGTACTTCCATAAAACTTTCAATAGGTCTCGTAAAGCACCTTTTCTTCAAACATGCCCACCCTGCCAGCTTCCCCCCAATTCACTTCCTCCACTGCAGCTTCCAGAGTAGAAAAAGATAGGGTATTGGAAACCCTCTTCCTAAACTTCAAATGGTTTTAAGGAGGTGAAAGCATCAAATTTGTGCTTGTAAAGGATTATGCTGACTGCAGCGTGTAAAAGAAGGAAGGAGTGGATGTGGGGAGTCCTGTCAGATTATTTCAGTATACTTCTATTCCAGTTCCAGAAGAACTTGGATTCTACCCAACCAACTGGCTTTCTCGGCTACCATATTTCACGGTACTCTCCACGCCTTCATACATAAAGTGGTATATCACCGCGAAACCTCCGGACAGGCTGGCCTCCACGAGCCCGGTAATGTTCACCTCCTCCCCACTGTGACACCCCGACACCCTAGATCCCCTCGGACTCTACCAGCTGAGTCCAGAGGCCACACTCGGCGCAGCCAAGCCCGTCCTACCCGAGGTCGCACATGGGCCGCTCCGGGTCAATAGTTCTTTGGAAACCAAGAAGAGAATCGAGTCAAGAGAGCAGCTAAGGGGATGGAGGCTAGCTATGGAGAAAGGAGCAAAAAGGAGAAGACACCCTGAAAGGCGGCACCGGGCCAGGGAACCGAGAACAAGGAACAGGGAACAAGGTTTACCAAAGCGAATCCTCGAACACTCCCACTACAGCTTCCCTCAGCGCCTCAACTACTGGTTTAAACGAGCCACGCCACTTGTGCGACAAGGAGAACGCCCTATTCCTGCGACCAGCTTTAGAAACCACCCGCTACTTTTAACTAGGCGGGCCAATCAGCGCAGTGAGGCCTTCAATCAAGACAGTCACGCTCCTATTGGCCAATGACATTGAAGACTCCGCCTTCCAATCCCAGATCTGATTGGCCTATAATCCCGGAATAGGCGTTAACCTCAGGAAGGCAGTGGCAAGATGGCGTCCCTGGATCGGGTGAAGGTACTGGTGTTGGGAGACTCAGGTGAGCCGCTTAACCCACCTCTGGGGCTCCCGACACTTTTGAGTTATCCGAAAATCCTCCCCTTTCACTCTCGCTTTACACACACACCGACTAACTGACTCCAGCTCGTGGCTGAATTCCCTCTCAAGGCCTAAAGACTACACTTCCCAGAGGACTTCGCTCAATTTAACGGAGCGGCGGCATCGCTCGGGTGGGGGGCGCGGAGCCGGGGCCTTTCTCTGTTTTCGCTGGTTTCTACGTCGGTTTCCAGGGCGACCGAAGCCTAGTGATCCTTTGTTTTAAAATATCTGCGGAGGTTGAGTGTTGTACTGGGCGCCGTGCTGAGACAGAAGTTCGGACTTTGCCTTTAATAGATTTTGTTAATTAAAGAAATCAAATGTGCACTAAGAGGAATGACACTGTTCCAGGTGCTTTGCATATATTAACTCATTTAATCCTGAGATCAGTCCTATTATCCCATTTCACAAATGACAAATCTCTTTTACAAAAAAGAGATGTAAATGACAGAACTAGTTTGAGCCGGGAGTCCACATACTTAGAACACTAACCCATATTATTTCGTGAAGTATCAGGTGGTAGACCTGTTTTACTCTCAACTGCGCTTCTTTTTTCTTTGTTCTCTTTAATCTTAATTGAAAAACTGTTATGTGCTAGGCTGGAAGAAATAGAAAAAATAAGATAAGGGCCATTTTAATGAGCAGCTAGGACTTAATGCTGAGCCCAGTTTAATCCTAGTGTTAAAATTCTTACCTTGAACACTTGAGAACAGGAGTTGAAGTCTGTGTTTCTATCTACCCTTCACTATCCTCTTTCTCATACCCTCCACTCCTAAGCTTCTTAAGAACTTGGAATAAATGTTAACCTTGCATTTCATAGATGTGCTTTTCTGGAGTTGACCTTTGGATGTCTGCTTGAGCAAAGACGTTTCAGATGCTTGGAGGTGGAGAGGACATACCCCAAAGAGCTTGAAAACTAGTCTTACCAAACTGAATAAAATTGGTGGGGGGAGGAGGTTGAGAACATTTTCACATTGCCTGAAGATTATTTGCATTGCAAAGTATTTTACAGAGAGCATTACTTAATATTCCCTTCAGAAAGTTGCATTATGAAATTCTATGAACATAATCCAATTTATGTCAACTTTAGTTCTTTAGCATGAAGTGGTGCTGAAGTTAATTTAATAAAAGCACTCAGTTTTACAGATAAAGAAAGCAGTGGTGGTCTAAATGGGCTTAAGAGTATCACCAAGTAGGATTTAGAAGAATCCAGAGCTAACACAGTTCTTCATGATATGTGAAGTGGGTGCTTTCTCTCATTTATAATTACCTTTCTATTGCATCTAACAATTGCTTCATGTTATATCTTGTTCAAACTAGTCGATTTATTTTTTTCCCCCAAAAAATTATTTCCCTATTATAATACATGGCAAATGCTGAGTTAGGTGCTGGGGATATAACTGTGGAATCAATGCATTACACAACAGCATTGTGCTGGGGATATAACTGTGGAATCAATGCATTACACAACAGAGTTGAATTGGCTGCTGTATTAAATGTGAAAAAGTAATCAGGCAGTTAGTAAGCTTTTTAAAATTATTATTATAGTTTAGTTGTAAAACAGAAGACACAGCCATGTCCACCAGGAAAGTGATTGATCTTGTCACACATTCACTGATGTTAGGCTATATGTGCAAAGTCAGTTATTGTCTTTTTATCAGTTCCCTTTTAACAATGATTTGCTGTCTTACAAGTTAGAATATACTTTTTACATTTCATCTGCCTTTGTATTTAAACTTCAAAGTTTACTTTTGAATAAAGGCTCATTTCCCCTGTGAAATTTTGAGGATTTCACAAATATATAAAGGAATGACTAGGGATTTAGAAATCTGTTTGTATCCCATAGAGATATTTGATACTTTAGTAAGGAATCCTGAAAGTCTCTCTAACATCACATACTCTTCTCTTTGTTCCTTCATATGTAAGGGATGAGCTTAATACATTACCAGCTCTGTTTGGAGCTGGCATTTATTTGATTATATTGAACCTTTTTTCCCCAGCAAATCAAGTGCATTCTTTTGATCTAAGTTAGTTCTAATGATGAAAACATAGAATCAGAATCTCCCAAAATTCTTAAAGTTAACCACTATTCTTGGCACTTCTGCTGTTCTTACTGTTTAAAGTTCATCCCGTGTTAGCTACAGTTAATTCATGGAGAGCTATACAATATTATTACATAGGGATGTTTACTCTGACACAGTTTAGCTTAACTAGAATTTCAAGACTTGTATCAAGCTGATAACTAAATGCCTAGTTATATTCCTCCAACATAAACAAACCTCCATACAAACACAAAAATCAACAATATGCCCTAAAGGCCATAGATATCAGATGCAATGCAGTAAATAAAATACAAAGCTCACTTTGAGTAGTCAAAAATCTTACGTGCCTGTATGTAAAAAAATAGAATGAAAAGGAAATCTGGGGAAATGTTTGGTTCAATTAAATGAGCAGCTAGTATATGAAGAGGTCATGTAAATTGATAACAGTAAAACCTAGTAGATAAATGGGTGGAGCACATCAATAGATAATTCATAAGAGAGGAAAAACAACTGGTTAGCAAAGATGAACATAATATGTATCTTTACCAGAAGGTAAAGAAATGCAGACTAAAGCAAGATGTCACTTTTTTTTCTCTTATAAGCTAACAAAGATGAAAAAGCAGCTACATACTGTTGAGGTGCAACAAGACCTGCAGGCTTATGTGTATGGCGGGTGGCAGAGTAACCAGATAAACGTTGTCAATATATATCAAGAACTTTCAATGTTGATTTCGGTTTACATATTAATTTCACTTCTGGGAAGGTATACTAATAAAATAATTTTAATTTTAAACGAAAGTGTAAACAGAAATCTTTTCTTAGCATAGTGAAAATTTCAAAGCACCCTAATATCTAATAATGAGAAAATGGTTAAATAAATCATTATGTCTCCTCTCTGAACTACTATGGAGACATTAAAAATATTTATGAAGATTCTGTAATAACATGGAAATTTTTAGCCACTAAATAAGTACTAATTAAGGCCCTCTCTGAATACTGGAAATAAAAAATGAGTAAAACCCAGTCCCAGGCCTCAAAGAACTTAAAATCAAGCAGAGTGAATAAAATCAATAAACAAGCAAGTGTAATAGTGTATTTTAAGTGCTCTATAGAAAAATGTACAGTGTACAGCGGAGATGCAGAGGAGGGTGGGTGATGTGCTTAGTTCTACCTGTATGGAGTAAGAGAAGACTTTATATCTAGAATGATGCTGAGTCTTGAAAGATTAATTCACCAGGCCAATGGGAGAGGGGAAATGGAAGGAGAGGATGGGTAGGATATTTCAGACAAAACCAGCTGTGTAAGCAAAGGCTTATGTTTCATTGTTTTTAAGTACACTGTGTGTAATATATTCACAATAACAACCTGCTTATAGAAAAACTCTGCTTATGAAATTAAATCTGCATTATTGACAGTAGTGCTCTTTGGGTGATTTATTTTCTTCTTTTTTCTGTATTTTCTAGATAGACTGTAAATAAAACTTTATAATAAAACGTGATAGGTCCATGCACAGTAATGCTCACAAAGAGGTCGGCTAAATTTTTGATAATTAGTGACACATAAAGATTCACCAACAATGCTTGTTATAATGGCATCCCAAGATATGTTCATTGAATGAGTAACTCTACACATAAATGTACAGGGATAGCTCATTCCCTTTCCTCTTCCTACAGATCTCAGAATACTAGCCCTAGCATTAGTAATTAGATTATCCTAAACTCAGGAGATCTATAAGAAAAGAAAGTGCTGTCCTACTGAATGGGAGAAGATATTTGCAAGCAACATATCTGATAAGGGGCTATCCAGAATATATAAAGAACTCATACAACTCTATCAAAAAACAATCCAATTTAAAAATAGGCAGAGTACCTTAATAGACATTTTTCCAAAGAAGACATACACGTGAAAAGATGGTCAGCATCTCTAATCATCAGGGAAATGCACATCAAAACCACAATGAGATATCATCTCACACCTGTCAGAATAACTCATCAAAAAGGCAACAAATAACAAATGTCATTGAAGATGGGGAGAAAAGGGAACCCTCATGTACTGTCAGTGGAATTGTAAATTGGTGCAGCCACTGTGGAAAACAATATGCAAGCTTCTCAAAAAATTAAAAATAGAATTACCATATGATCCAGCAGTTCCACTTCTGGGTATTTACCTGAAGAAAACAAAAAGACTAATTCGAAAAGATGTATGCACCCCTATGTTCATTGCAGCATTATTTATAGTAGCCAAGATATGAAAGCAACCTCAGTGTCCACAATAGATGAATGGATAAAGAAAATGTGTGTATATATACACATACAGGTGGACTATTAGCCATAGAAAGAACGAAATCTTGCCATTTGTGGCAACATGAATGGATTTAGAAGGTGTTATGCTAAACGAAAGAAGTCAGAAAGACAAATACTGTATGATCTCACTTATAGGTAGAATCTAAAAAAAAAAATGAACAAACAAATGAAACAGACTCATACAGAGAACAAACTGGTGGTTGCTAGAAAGGAGAGGTGGGGAGGGGGTGAAATAAGTGCAGGGAATTGAAGTACAAACTTCCAATTATACATAAGTCACAGGGGTGTATTGTACAGCATAAGGAATATCACCAGTGGTACTGTAATAGCTTTGCATGGGGACAGATGGTTACCAGACTTATTGTGGTGATCATTTTGTAATGCATTTAAGGGTTGTACACCTGAAACTAACATAATATTGTATGTCAACTATACTTCAATAAAAAGAAAAGACAAGTGCTGTCTATGAAGTTAAAGGGCCATGGTGTAGAAGAAGAAGAGTTGTTCTCCTTTTCCAAAAGATAAGTCTGGGCCAAGTGGTTGACTGCTTTCTAAAAATCACTGTATGGTAGAACTGGAATATCTAAATATGGAATTGTGAAATGGTGAATCCCTGTCACTGACAGTGTTCAAGCATAATCTGAAAGACCATCTAACAGGGTCTGTGGAAGGGACCTCTGCATTGGTGGTCAGGATAGAGAAGATTACCTCTAAGATATGTTAAGATTCTACAATTCTAAAATAGGCTGAATAGATGAAATTATTCCAAAGGAAAGGGATTAGTTTATTTCAAATTGCCCTGGACCAGTAGTTCTCAAAGTGAGTTCTCTGGATCCGTAGCATCAACATCACCTGGGAATATGTTAGAAGTGCAAAATCTTTGGGTTCCATAACAGACCTGTCAAATTGGAAACTCTGGGGACAGGACCCAGCATTCTGTGTTTTAACAAATCCTCCAGAGGATTCTGATGTTAAATTTGAGAGAACCAGTGTCCTTAACCGTCTTCTCTTTATCAGTGAAGCTTATTAAATCATTGGTATGGTATGAACACCCTTTAAACAACCATGCTTTACATACCGTTATTACTGCTTATTCTCAGTCTTACTTTTGCCGTAATATATTTCAGCATGTCTTTTAAATGACTAGAGTTCTTGTATCTTTTACAGGTGTTGGGAAATCTTCCCTAGTTCATCTCCTGTGCCAAAATCAAGTGCTGGGAAATCCGTCATGGACTGTGGGCTGCTCAGTAGATGTCAGGGTATGTGTTTCTTATATTTTAGTTTTTCAGTGTCATATTAAAGATAACTCCTTCAAATTCATGATCCAATTACAGCCCTGTAGTCAAGACTAAGTAATGATAATAGCTGGGTTTTATTAAGCACCTACTTTGTGCTAGATACTATGCCCAATGTTTTACATGTCTTTGCTTATTTAGTCTTTTTTAAACTGTAAGATATAGCTACAAAAATTAAGGCATAGAGAAGTAAAGTAATTTGATCAAGTTCATTCAGTTCATAAGAAGCAGAGTCAAGATTTGATCCTAATAGTCTGATTCCAGAGACTTCACTTTTAATTACTATACTGTATATCTAGAGTTCACTTAACATGCTCCATAAATCATTCTGCTCGAGCCTTTCCCACTAAGACAGCCAACTTTTGGCTAGAAATATAGTGTAAAGGCAAAAGCTTCTGGAGCCTTATGTCTAGGTTATCTGTTCCACATCACATTTAGGAAACCCAAGTGCAGTTTCCACTGAATTAACTATCTTCCCAGATATTTTGGTCTTGCTAATTCCAGCTATTCCTGTCCAGGCCTCTCTTGTACTGGCATACCTCTCTCCATTGAGTTAAGAAATAAATAAGGAGGGAATAGCAGTTAGCTAGATTGACAGTTATTTTCCTTCAGTTCCTTGAACCTGTTGTTCCACAGTCTGCGATGTATATTGCCACTGATTAGAAATCCTCTGTCAGCCTAAGTGTTATTCCTTTTTAAGGTAATTTCTTCTCTCTAGTTGCTTTAGAAAAAAATTTTTTTTTAATAATCTTTGATGTTCTGTAGTTTTGCTAACCTATATCTAGGAGTGGATTAGTTTTTAGTCATCCTACTCAGAAGTTGTACGCCTCATATATATCTTCATTTTTCAAAATTTTTAGCCATTATCTGTTTGCCTTACCTCTTTCCTTCTATCTTCTTTTGAACTTCTATTGGATTTTTGTCCTCCACATCTTTTAATTGCACTTTCATGTTTTCTATTGTTTGTTTCTCTGTGGTGCATTCTGGATGATGTACTCATTTCTGCCTTCCAGTTAACTAAGAATCTCTTCAACTATGTGTAATCTGTTTTTTAATAAATCCACTCAGTTTTTTATTTCAGTAACTGTAACTTTTAATTTCCAGATGTTCCTTTTGGTTCTTTTTCGAATTTCAAAATATTCTGATCTTTCATTATATTTTACTTTTTATTTTAATCATATTCAACATAATATTTTATGGTTTCTTTTGGCTTGTTCTATTTTTTTTCTGGGGGGTGACAGATCTCCTACTTGCTATATATGCAGACTCTACCTCATGGAAATGTACCTCTTGTATGGTTTGTAATTCTTGAAGATGACCACATCTTCAACAGGATTTTTTTTCTCCTCTTCCCTTTTGAAGTCTTGTATGCTGTATTGTGAGAGTACAGTGCCTTTCATTTCTGTTGCTACCAGAGCCCTAGAGATTTCAGTGATCCTTGTAATTTCTCAGCTTGGAATTTCCATGCAATCTTGATAATGTAAATTCCCCCCAGCATCTGATTGTGGTTTCCATTTTTTGTGGATCTTTCATCTACTTTCTACAAGGTCCCTGACAGAAAGTTTTTCCTGCTTTCCTGAGCCAGTGGACAGAGTTTTTCCTACTCTCTTTCACTGACTGGGCTGCTCATCAAGGGTCCACATTTCAAGAAGGGAATCTGTTCTTTGTCACTCACCCACATATACTCTTGCCTTAAAAGCTGGAAAACAGACCCCTATTCTTGGCTGGGCACTAAAACTTGGGGGACCAACCCCTGAAGTTATATCTGAATCTGGGTCAGCTCCCACTTCATACTCTTTAAGTTTTTCCTTCATTTCTAGCATCTGGGGAATTTCCTTTTTTCTTTTTTCTTAAGTGTGTCCTTTTTATTTTTAAAAAATATTTTTATGGCATTTCTATGAGTCTGAAGTCAGAGGGGACCTGTCTATATCATTTTAGCCTACTATGTTCCCAAATTCTTAGCTATGGAAGAAAAAGAAATTCTAGATAATGAATTCAGTGGCAACTTTATTTAAGTTTGGGAGACCCAATAATAAGCTCTGGACAAAATTTCCCTTTGGACTTTTCTAGCTCCCTTTCTGTGAGAAAGCTTAACATATTGAAAAGAAACTTAGATTTGAACTCCCACTTCCTAGGTCAGTCGCATATTGCTTTTGCTTCTTAAAGAGAGACTTAGACTAATCAGTTTACTTCTCTGAGCCTTAATATGTCATCTGCAAATTAGAGGTAAATAATACCTGCTTTAGCCTACAGGTTTGTAGGGAGGATGAAAGAAGCTTAAAAGGTGTGAGGTTAAGGTCTAGTGCTTTACAATTTGAAGTTGAAATTGAACTTAAATTCATTTTCCTGCCCCGCCCACCTGCCCCTCTTATCTATCCAGAGCCCAGTCTGCTCATGTAATTTACCTTTTGTCTTATTTGGGGTTTTTTCCCCTTTTCTTATTGAATGGGCTAAATCCCCAGTACAGTGTTAAGTAGAAGTGGTGCTAACAGGTATCCTTGTCTCATTCCCAATCTCAGGAAATTTTTAATGTAATACCATTAAATATGGGTTTTGCTATAGGACTTTTTGTAGATATGCTTTATCAGATTAAAGTTACCTTCTCTTTCTATTTCGATGAGAGTTTGAACCACGAACTGGTATTGGATTTTATCAGGTGCTTTTGCATGATAATCATAATTTCCCTGCTTTATTTTGTAACTATGGTAAATTATTTTGATTGATTTTTAAATGTTAAACCAACTTTTCATTCTTGGAGTAAATCCAACTTGGTCTTGATGTATTCTTTTCATATATCACTAGATTCAATTTACTAATACTTTTCTTTTCAAATATTTGCATCTAAATTCATGAGGAATATTGGCCTATCATTTTCCTTTCTTATAATCTCCTTGTGGGGTTTTAGTATCAGGATTATGCTAGCCTCATAAAATGAGTTGGGAAGTTTTACCTCTGTATCTATTCTCTGGAAGAGTTTATGTAAGATTGGTTTTATTTCTTCCTTAGGTATTTGGAAGAATTCACAGTTAAAAACCTCTGGACCTAAAGTTTTCTTTGTGGGAGTTTTTAAGTAACATTAAAGAAAATATGAAAATGACTATTTCTTCTATATCAATTTTGATAACATGTTTTTGAAATAATTTGTTTCATGTAAATTGTCAAAAAATTTGTTTTTATATCCTCGATTGTCTTTCAATATCTGTAGGATCTGCAGTAGTATTCCTTTTTTCATTTCTGATATGAATAATTTGTGGCTTTTCTCTTATTTTCTTGGTCAGTCTTGCTAGAGGTCTATCTAGGACCAGTTTGGGGCTTTGTTGATTTTATCTATTATATGTCTGTTTTCTATTTTATTAATTTCTGTTTTTTTCTCTATTATGTCTATACTTTCTTTGGGTTTAATTAGCTGTTTTTTTCCCTAACTTCTTGCACTGGGTAGTTGTTTCATTGGTTTTTTTCAGACTTCCCTTTAGAAAGCTCTAAGGCTCTAAATTTCTATCTAGGCACAGCTTTAGCTGCCTCTCTGAAATTTTGTTCATTATCATTCAGTTCAAAATACTGTCTAATTTCCATTATGATTTCTTCTTTGACTCATGGGTGGTTTAGAAATGTGCCACTTAATTTCCAAACTTTGAGAATGTTTATTATCTTTTAATTATTGATTTCTAGGTATGATTTCATTCTTTGAAATTTGATGAGATTTGCTTAATGCCAATTTTGGTAAATATTTCATGTGCACTTGAAAAGAATGCATATTTTGTAACTGTTGAGTGCATTGTTCTAAATATATCAATTAGGTCAAGTTTGTTAGTCTTTTTTTTTTTTTTTTTTTTTTTTTTGCGGTACGCGGGCCTCTCACAATAATGTCACTGTGCAGTGATAGCCACTGTCAATATTGTCCTGTGTTTTCTTTGTGTTTTTTAATTCTTTGCGTGGGTTCTTTTTTGTTTGTTTGTTTGCGGTACGCGGGCCTCTCACTGCTAGTGGCCTCTCCCGTTGTGGAGCACAGGCTCCAGGCGCGCAGGCTCAGCGGCCATGGCCCACGGGCCCAGCCGCTCCGCGGCATGCGGGATCCTCCCGGACCGGGGCACGAACCCGCATCCCCTGCATCGGCAGGCGGACTCCCAACCACTGCGCCACCAGGGAAGCCCCAAGTTTGTTAGTCTTTTTGTTCAAATCTTCTCTATCTCGACTGATTTTCTTTGTTGCTTGTTTCATCAGTTGCTAAGGAATGAGTATTATAATCTCCAACTATAAGTGTGGATTTGTCTATTTCTCATTTTAATTCTGCCCATTTTTGTTTATATATTTTGAGGTTGTTTTACTAGGTGTGTTCTAATTTAAGATTGTTTAAACTTCCAGAAGGGTTTAACATTTTATCATCATGATATATCCTCTGTATATCCTGTAATACATTGTACTTTGACGTCTATTTTGTCTGGTAATAAAACAGCTAAATCCACTTTTTTTCCCAGTTTTATTGAGATATAACTGACATATAACTTTGTATTAGTTTAAGGTGTACAACAAAATGATTTGATATATGTATATACTGAGAAATGATTACCGCAATAAGTTTAGGTAACATGCATAACCTCACATAGTTACAATTTTTTTTCTTGTCATGAGAATTTTTAAGATTGTGTTCACTAATGAATGAATGGATAAAGAAATTGTGTTATATATACAGTGGAATATTATTCAGCCATAAAAAAGAAGGAAATTCTGCCATTTGAAACAACATGGATGGACCTTGAGGGCATTATGCTAAGTGAAATAAGTCAGAGAGAGAAAGTTACTGTATTAGCACACTTAGATGTGGAATCTGAAATAACCAAACTCATGGGAACAGAGAAGAAATTTGTGGTTGCCAGAAGTGGGGGTGGAAGGGGGAGAGGGGTAATATGGGTGAAGATGGTCAAAGGTACAAACTTCCAGTTATAAGGTAAATAAGTTCTGGGGAT